GATGATGCTGATAAAATAAAGGATATTCTTGATATCCCCATTGATGTTGGAAATGTTTTGTGTAGCAAATGTTGGTCCGGGGTTCGTTTCTCTTTGTCAAAAATACGCAAAGAAACGACAACAGTTTCTCCGCCAGATAGTCAAGTGCTGTCTTCTGAATCTCCAACTGTAGTAGAAAAGAAAGATCCAGTTTATGAACCTCCCAAAGTTCAAAAACCCCTTGCGGAAGAATCAATTGAACTACCTTATAAGAGAGTAGTTTCTACTCACGCATACTGCTTTATATGTGGAAAAGAATCAAGCATCATTAACATTCCTTTTGAAGCGCGTAAGCAGCTTTTTTCAGAAACGGGAATTTTTATCCCACAGGGAAATCGATGCTGTCATCAACACCTTTTGAAAAATCGACTTTATCCAGATGAAATAAAAGACTTGAGAGTTGTTGCTCATTCGTCTTCTATCAAAGCATCAGATTTAACAAAATTGCTTAATAAGTTGAGCATAGATTCGGATAGAGAACTAATGGATAGAATTGCTGATTTTTCAATTCCTGAAGAACGCATTTACACATTCACTGGACTTACTTGGGAACAAATAATCAAATTACGGGATATGATGACTTCTCTGAGAAATTCGGACAATCGAACTGTAACACAAGCACTTGTTGTTTTTTTATTCAGGTTGCGTACCGGAAATTCGAATTAAATGATTTGTTCCATCCTCGGACTAGAAAGACATCAACAAGTCTCAGATTTTTCGACGTCTATTCTCGATTCTTTTGAAAAAGATGTCTTGCCCTCCCGTTTCGGACTAAAGGCTGCAAATCGTAAAGAACTGATTCGTGATCATACAACACCTCTTCTGAATAAACTTCACAACGTCAGCGATCTAAATCTTGGACTCGTTGGTGACGGTACTTACATAAAACATCAAAAGAGCTCTAATAATGAGTATCAGAGGAAATCATATTCGGGGCACAAAAAACTTCCTTTGTGTAAACCGTTCACGCTTTGTGCTTTAGATGGTTATGTTGTAGACGTGTTGGGGCCTTTTTATGCTACGGAAAATGACGCTACGATTTTGGGTTCTCTATTAGCTGAAGATCAAAGTGATTTGAAGAAATTGATGTGCAAGGAAAATGACGTTTTTGTGCTCGATCGTAGATTCCGTGACATTCAGAGTAGATTAGAAGATGAGAAATATCGGGTTTTGATGCCATCGTTGAAAAATAAAAAAGACAAGCAATTGACGGCTCAAGAAGCAAACGAATCACGACTCGTCACTATGCTTCGTTGGGTTGTCGAAGCTGTGCATGGTATTGTTGCTCAGAAGTACAAGTTTTTCCATCAACAGCTGGATAATCGATACTTACCCAAAGCTGGACTGTATTGTAAAATTGTTTGCTTTCTAATCAATGAATTCGGAAAACGATTAGTGTCAAGAGCTTCTCTTGATGAAGAATTAGCAGAGTATGTTCTTTCGAAAAGTTCAAATGAAAATAGTTTGGCAGTTGAAGCTCATACAGCACATTGGGGCAGAAGAAAGAGTCAGTTCATACAATTGAAATCTTCTGAAGTCCTTGATTTCCCTGAAATGACAGAACAGGATCTCATCAAGTTTTTCACAGGCACATACCAACTTCAGCAAACAATTTCTTACCTAGCCGAAATGATGAACGATCAAAACGAGTTGAATTTGAATTATTGCAAAGCAACTATTAATATCATCAAGGTACAAGTGAGATCTAGGCATATATCTCGACGAAACTACAATTGTTACATTGACTACAAGCCAGATTCAATCGGCTACGCTGGAATTTCACGTCATTATTGTGAATGTTCCAACGGCATGCGAACCATCGGCTGCTGCTCTCACGTGGCTGCAGTCATCTACTACCTGTCGCACGGTAGATACCTGTCCAAAATTTTGAGACCTGCCGAAATTCTCACCAAGATTTTTGAACGCGAACAGGTAACGCCTGTCATTGAAGGTGACAGTGATGAAGAGTAGGATTGACACTTTACTTACCCGTGATGAAGGTGATAGCCAACTCAGGTAAGCCTTCAAAGTTCAAAAAAATCTTTTGCCAAAAAATTGAGTACCATTGATTTTTCATCGTCGTGTAATTAATTACAGCCTGCACAGTGAATAGAATGCAGACGCACATGAAAGGTTCAAGTATGCAGCAGTTACTCCATTGCAATTTTAGTATCTTTATAAGAAATGCAACCAGTTATGATTAGGATAATTATCGCGCAATGTAAGATAATTTTGTTTAATATACTGTCGAACAGCACGAACTGTGAATTTTCGTTGATCTCAAGTTTGTTGATATTAAATTGATGATTCTATAAAAATCATAAGTTACAGTATACATATTTTGTGTGTACTTACATTTTTTCCCAATCTCAGTAAGAATCTCATGCTTTACAATAAATGGCGGTATAAAAAGCTTACAAGATGTTGTGGAACGAATAAGTCTCTCGCCGGCTGATTGCCCCTATATATTTCTTGGGTGTTCATGATCAGCTCAAAATTATTTTACAGCTTGGTATATGTTTTTGATATATGTTTTCGATGTATTTTTTCACGTAGATTGAGACAGTGCTATCGGTCATATTATAAAACCTACTCAAGTTCTGTTAGAATGAAAAATTCACTGTAACATACGGTTTTCGGCTTGTACCACTCAAAGGTTATGTAGTATTATGAAACTGATAGCACTATCGTATTCCAGGGGAAAAAATGGATGGAAAATGAGCTTGAAATGTTGTGAAATCATCAAAGCCCACCAAAAATTCAGCGAAACAAAAGATTTCCTACGCATGTTCGCCCTGTTCACTGTATAGACCTTCATTCCTTCCCGATCGACGGGTAAAAAAAATTATTTCTGAATGTAGGATACATGTTTTCGATGTATTTTTTCCCGTAGAATTCAAAAATGTTGTCGATTATGTGATAGAACATAACCTAAAAGGGCTAGGAGCAAAAAACTGAGTTTTTTTGTGGTTTCGATTTTTTTGAAGATCGTTCCACCACTTTTAAAAATCTGAAAAAATTCACAGGCATTTTTGAGTTGAAAATACACAATATATATTTTTTTCAGCGATGTGTCTGTCTTTGTTTTTTTTTTATTCAATTTCAAAATTTTCAAACGGCTGTAAAATTTTGAATTTCGCGCCAAAATTTTTTTGAATAGCATCATTTTATCGGGCTTCAAAAACCCTACAAAATGCAAAAAAATTTCCTAGCTCAAAAATTGACCGAGATATCGTCAAAAAACTGAAAGTCACTATATGCGACTTTTTGGGGTCCCTAGGGCATTTTGGGGTCTGAAAATCTAGGGATCTTCATCATTTTTCAAGACGAACAAGATGGTGTAATCACTTTTCCGAAATCGTCAAGGGCACATTCGACCATCTTATCCGGCTAGACCCTTTATTAATATATGCAATGAATTCAATAACAATCCTCGCTGTATCGCGATCCCTCAAGTTATTACAAACCAAATTCCGTGTATCATGTTTTCTGAGTGAAAAGAGATGTATGTGAGCTGTGAAAAGCGTATTGTACTTTTTTCAGACATGAAAGTTCACGTAAGTTTCCATCACGTATTGAAATTCAATTTTTACTTATAAATGGACATTTCTTAATAAAAATGTTTCCCAAACGTATATTTTTAATGCATCTTGCGTTACACACATTTAAAGTATTCATAACAATCTTTCATTATAGATTTACCTTGAAGAAAACCGTGTAAATATTGATGATAAACAAAGGGTTGATAATTGCAAGGACATCGAACAACTTATAAAGTTTGTTAATCATTCGGTGATACCATGTCTCAAAATAAACGGCATAAAAAAGTACCATATTCTTCGTCATATTAGCATACATTTAATTTAATTTATAGAATTAAGAACGTTTATTGTAAATGTTGTTTCGAAATCAGGTCGGAAAAATGTTATGGATTCATTCTCAAGAAGGTTAGTTCACCAGGTCTGCCAGTAATGCAATGCAAAAAATGCTCTGCTGCTCGGTTAAGGTTAAGAAAAAAAGTAAATACGAAAGAAATAAAGCTTAAGGAGAAAAGAAAAAGGAAACAATTAGTTATGTCATTGAAAAATGTGAGGCGCTAATATGGGAGACAACAGAAACAAGCAATGTGAAAAAATAATGTATATTATATATCATATCTATAGAAAAGTAAATCTTGTTTCTCGTCTTGTTCTTACTGTTTATTGACCATGGAATGCGGTAACAAAAGACAGATGTATACGATAGTGTTTGGACATAACTGAAATCTTTAAGATTATCAATTATATGATTATCTTCATCATGCTAATTATTTAATCGCAAGTTTAATTAATCATTATAAATATCATATTAGATTGTTAGGTTGAAAAGGAAAATTATGTAAATTAAAAATGAATGTGCCAAGACGTCAGAGGAGGCGGCTATAAAAATTAGTGAGAAGTTTCCGGAAAATCAACGATTAAATATACAAGCATACGTGACTGCATCGAAGGTCAAAGGTAGTAAAGGCATAAGATATTCGACACAGTGTATCTATGAGTATTTGATGCTTCGAATAAAAAGGAAGAAAACTTACCATCACTTGCGATCACGTTAGATACTTATCCTACCATTATTAATAACACTTAGTCGTTACGTGAAGCGAATGAAAGGAGCATACGGTTTGGAACAAAGGACTTTCAACATTTTAAAAACGAAAACTGAAAGCATGAATTCCAATGATGTCCGAGGTTAGCAATTATAAATTCATTATTCTCACTAGAAACAATCAAGCGCGCTACGCGCGCTGTAGTTTCATATTTCTCTTGAATAATATACAATGTACTATCGCGATTTTTGCTCGTTTTCTTAAGAAAGATGTTGTCTAAAAATATTTCATAAATAACATTATTATGCTTAAATAAATAACATTATTAGTATTCTTTTCAACTAATTATGTAATTTCGATTATTGAAAATTTAAATTTATTCCAAGAATAATTCTTTGTAAACATAATTTTTAACCTTTCTTGTTTGTGTATAATTTCCTAAATATATTTTGATAGAATCCCAAGATCTAACTCTAGACATTGCTACATAAAGTTGACCATGATTGAATACGTCTTTTTGAAGGTCGACAACCGTTTTTTTAAAAGTTTGTCCTTGAGCTTTATTAATAGTCATTGCAAAAGCTAGTTTGATTGGAAATTGTCTTCTCTTGAATGTGAATGGATAATAATTTTCACTATACAAAGTTATACGATTTATAAAGACAATTTCGTTAGCTTTATTACCTGTTAAAATTTTACATTTTATTAAATGATTCGATAAATCTAGTATTTGCAATCTCGTTCCATTGCACAAGCCTTCATCATTACTGATATTCCTAATTAGCATTACAGTACAATTTTTTGGCAAGCGTAATTCGTAAGGTGGTAAACTTGATGGATTTAAATTATGCAAATGTTCTGGTAAAATAAGGTCGTCTAATTCACCGTTATTATTTACAACGGTATCAATAGCAGTATATATACGTTCAAAATCTTTGCTGAATAAATTAGTTATTTGTTTATTAATATCGTCTACGTCCACATTTCTGGCTGATAATATGGCACATTTACTCATTTCTTGAAATTTCTTTTCCCAAATTAAGTTACCAAATATACTTTCAATTATATTAGCAGTTGGAGGAAGTATGCAATGTTCAGGGAGATTTACACAGTCATTTTGATCATTCAATGTTCCATGACCAACATTTAATAAAAATTTGGAAAATTCTATTTCATTTGGTAAAACTCTCATGTTTGTCGTTAGAGTAAATTTAATAAAGTGTTTCCACAGTGCGCTATATTTAACGCAAAGACTTAATATTTCACTTCGAGTGCCTCGAACTTTAATTGGTAACAATTGTTTTAAATCTCCTCCAACTATTATAGTTTTTCCTCCAAATGGCAAATCATTGTTCATAAAATTTTTTAAAGTTTTATCTAGAATTTCCAATGCATATCTCGGAGCCATTGAAATTTCATCCCAAATAAATATTTCGGTTTCTCTTAGTACTTGAGCTTCAAGAGATTGTGCTTTGATATTTGAAGAAGAATCTTGAAACATAGGTACTGGTAATCCAAACGTTTTATGTACAGTTTTGCCATTTGGAAGTAATGTAGCTGCAATTCCAGTAAATGCCATGGAGCATATTTTAATATTTTCAGAACTTAGTTTATAATATAACGTTTCATAAACATAAGTTTTTCCAGATCTTCCTGGTCCATTCATATAAATGATGTCAACTATTCATATAAATGATGTCAACTATCGAAAATCATGTCAACTATTTGTTTTTGTTGAGGATTTAAGGTATTATAACGTTGCTCTCCTAGTTCTGCCATTTGTTGTAAAGATATTCGAATTCCAGAAGATACATAGTTTAAATGGTTAGTTTCATTCGTTTTATTAGAACTTGGAAATTCTGTTTCAACTAATTGATTCATTGTAGGAAAGTCAGCTAAAGTACGACCTTCTCTATTCAATAAAGTGTTTATGACAGAGTAAGCCATTTTATGACTTATACTTTTTTCGTGATATCGAGAAAAATCTTCAGACATTGCATCTTTGAAAAGATCCCACAATTCTTCTGGATTTAGTGGATGAGAATGTATGAGAATCCGTACAAATAAATATCGAAGTCTTTGGGGCATCATCCACCTTGTTCCTTCTTCTAAAGCCATTTTCCATTCTTCATCATTTTCAATTAGATCCAACGCTAGGCAAGTTGCGACAAAAGTAGAGTGTACTACATCATCAACAGTTCTCAAGCTTTCAAAACTTACAGCTCCTTTTACATGAAGTAATAGCGATCTTAAATGAAATAATTCAAATTGAGTTGGACTAACAGAATACATACGGCCGATGACGTTAAAGTGTTTCTTTCTGGTCCTCCATTTAGTTAAATATAAATTACCATTTTTTTCTTTCTTATAAGTAAAATGTTGTAGACTTTCTGAATAATAATATTGTCTTGCAGTTTCATTTTCTAAATTTAATTTGAAATAATCTAATAACATGCTACTTGTATTACTTAGATTTTCTATCGTTAAAGGATTATTCGCAGCATTTGAAATGATGACAAATTGATGTTCAGGTAAATGTACAGGTAACCTAATAATTGTATGGCTTTTATCTTGTAATGTTTTACTTAATAAACGGTAAATTGATTCAACAGGACCAATATATCGAGTGTTTATAAACTTATAAATCTCATCATGGTAAATAGCTATACCATTTTCAGAATCTTGAATAACAACAGTTGCAGCATAATGGCCTTTGTATATATATTTATATAAATATTTTACAGCCATAATACTTGACACTGCTTCGACATTTATATGGCAATCAAACATTTCTGATAAATCTGGACAATGAGGTACCACCCAACTGTTATTAACTTCATTGCCCTGGTGTATTCTGTTGTGAATACAACCAGTATCTCTTCGACGATAATTCGGAAAACCGTTTTCATCCATAGTTGTTTCCTCTTGAAAACTTTTTGGAAAACTTTTAGAACATTTACCATTTTCCATACACCAATCGCCACATGGTCCGTGAATCATATGTTTTAGTATAAAGTCGTATAAATGTGGATTATTTACTTTAATCGGAATTTCAGCAAATATAAATTTATCAACAATTTCCGCAGTAGTCCACTTATATCCATTAGCTAATGTTAGTAATAAATGAATGTGTGGTAAGCCTCGCTTTTGAAATTCTACTACGTGAACATGATCAGCAACTTCGCCAAAGAATTTTTTTTTAACAATTAAATCAACTAATCGCTCTTTCTTTACATGAAAAACTCGGGCTACAATATCTGGTCTCTCACAAGCTTGTTGACCAGATAAAAGGTTTTCTTGGATTTCAGGCCATTTTGGATTGCACGTTATCGTGAGAAAAATATCAGGCTTTCCTTTTTCATTTACTATAGCCATAGCATCTTGATAGCATTGCTGCATATAACGTGGAGATCCAGTAAATGATGATGGAAGAATAACGGTTTTACCTACTTGTCCACCAACTTCATCGGCAGTATTCTGCATATAATCACTGAGGCCTTTATAAGTATCAGCCCTTAATTCTCTTTGATGACCTTTACAATATTGGATTCGATCTTTTTCGACTTTAACGTAACTGCCCATTGTTGGAATAATCTTCCGCCCATAATAAAAGGATTAAATTCACCTGGTCTTATGGCCATTCGATGTCTTTAATACGCCATTCGAGAAATGCGTTTATTATCATTAACACGCATTAAATTTTTGTGCCATCCTTGAGTACCGTAAGGGTAAAATAAAGGATATATCCAAGGTTCAACGTTGGGATCCATCGTACTGACATGTTGTAAATTTTTGTATGTTTATTCCTAATCGTTACGTATGATTCCGGAATTTCTCCATCCGTTGTAGTTGAAAATATTGCAGCAACTTCGTTAACACGTTGAAAATTATATCGTCTTTTATCGAAGCCCGGTTTCAAAGTAAATAACAGTTGTAATTCAGGTTCAGTATTATTGCCTAACAGTGATTGTTCTCTATCTATTTCTACTTTCATCATCTCGTATGATTGTGCAAAAATATTTTTTTCCCGTATAATTATATCTAAAGTCGTTAAAAGTTCAGAATCTAATCTTGAATTGTTACGTAATCGATAGTTTAAAGCTTCTAATTGATCAACTATAAAAAGTTGTCCATAAGATGGATTTTCCCCTTCATTTGGATAAAGTGCTGACAACACTTGACCTTGTATTTTAAAACAAAATGGTCCCGGTCGATTTGGTGCAAAATTAAATAAATTTGCATTCAACGAAGCAAAAGCTAATGAATTGTTATAATATCGAATATCTTTTATAAATAAATTAGATTTAGAATGTTGACCTGTAAATAATGAATGAAGTTCTGATGGAAATTCAGGCAAGGGATTTAATGATACTGCACCATGACTACAGCAGTCGCTGAATGTGTAACAAAACTCTCTCCTTTGTTACCAATTCTTTGCGGGGTAAGTGAGGCACTTTCGCTCAAGGCAATTGAGGGAGAAGAACGAGGAGAGGTTGATAAATAAATTATATAAAGACAGAAATCAAATCTCACTTACAACCTATTATTATTAATCATTGTTCAAACTAAACATACGCGCGCATAACATAGTCTAATTATTAACTAACCAACTACATAATAGAATAATAAACTACTCATAGTATTCACAAATGAATATTTCGCATTTCGTCTTAATATCCAATCGCGCACTTAACCTATTACAAACTTAATTAAATTACGCGAACCTATACCGGATGAACTGCCCGGCACGTGGGCGCCTGGACAATTCGCCGGTCGCAACTTACGTTACTACAAATTAAGCTTAAGCGCGAACCTTTAGATAGCCGGCACGTGGATGCCTGGCTATCCTATTACGCGCACCGGTCGTCGCATCACCAGAGAGAGAGAGAGTGTAGAGAGAAAGAAGAAAAGAAGGCTTGACCTTTATTCACCGCTCCTAGCAACGTCGTAGGTCCCGGGCGATGTGCTGCCACAGGAAGTACCGGTCGTCGTCGCTGGTCAGATCGTTGCTAGCTGCTGGCTGCTATCGCTGACCAGGTATCCGCAGGCGACGTTGACTCTCCTTGCAGGGGTGGGCTGGCTGCGGTCGCAGACAAAGCTGTTGTCGGTAGGGTTGACCTTCCTTCCAGCTATCCCAAACTGCACTCTCTACACTCTAGCAGGACTGGGCTTGGACTGCTGCACTCTAGTAGGACTAGGCTTCGACTCCTACACGCACTTATTCTTGCGCTCGTCTTGCAGCCGCTCAGCGGCGCTCGCTCTTCTCCCTACCTTGACCTATTAGTTAGGCGGTACGCGACGCGCCGCTTATCGGTCACGCGTTGCGCGCCTGCCTATCCCTGCATGGGCCTAATACTCTCTTTCTCTCTCTCTCTCTCTCTCTCTCTCTCTCTTTTTCTCACTCTCTCTCCGCGCTCCTCAACTTTTTCTTGCGCTCAACTGCGCTGGCCCGTCCTTGACGCTGAAACAAAAAGACCAAATGTTAGGCGCATACTTTAATGCGCCTAACGTTGGCCAACACGCCTTGCCGAGTGGAGAAGGGAGAACGCAGACGAGAGACCAGTACACGGCCTGCTCTCGTCACAAATGAATAACCTTTATTAGAAATCATTTCATTTTTTAAATGTTTAGCTTTACAATGAGAGCATAGTACATCCATTGGACCTAAGGAATCTTGTTCTATAATTTCTGTCCGTTGATGTAATGCATCTCGAGCTGCTTAACGTCTGCGTTGTGTATTCTCTTTATCTCGAAGTCGCTTAGCATTGAGAAAGATTTGTTGTTCTTCTGGTGTACGTTTAACGTTTCTAGCAGGCATAATGATAATAAAAACTAAGTATTATATAAGAAAAACTTGAAGTCAAATAATATTGAAGCAATCACCCGATGTATGTAACTATAAGTTCCAAATTAATTTCATTCAATAAGTAGTAATATTTGATTATTTAATTACATTCAATAAGTGTAAATTTGTTTATACTCAGTAAAAAAATTATAAAATTTTTAGCTAATGTATTTAAAATAAAACAGCAAGTAAATACTAATTGAAATGTACTTTGCAATGTAGAGGAAAGGTTTAATTTTAATACTTAAATGATATCAAAGAAATCAGCCAATGTATATGTACAATAAACTTCCAAATTTATTTAATTCAAAAAATATTACATTTTCTTATTCTTATGAAAAGTAAAGAAATTATAAAAATTTTAGCTAATGTATTAAAATATAAAAATTATATAACAAATAAATATTAATTGAAATGTACTTTACAATGTAGACGGGAGGTTTTATTTTAATAATTATGATTTCAATAAATAAATTTTTTTCAAGTTAATGTAATGATTTGCAATAATTGGTTGTTTGTTATTTGTTGGTAAGTTATTTTTTATTTGTTAATGTTGGTTGTTTGTTATTTGTTGGTAAGTTCTTTTTTATTATTTGTTAAAGTTGGTTGTTGCGTTGGTTTAGTTAAGTTGTAGTTTAACGTAAGTTAGGAATATTTTTCGTTCAAGTACGTTTCATATTGTAGTGGATCCTGAAAAAGAACAAATAATAATTAATGAATACAATTAGAATACGTTAGTTGTAAAAAAATCATTTTCATTTATTAATGTGAATAACATTTTCTAGTTTACTGTTAATATTTATCTATTTACAATATTAATTATAAAAGGTACATCAGTGCCAAGTTTTTAAAATGAATTTTAGCTTACAAAATTATGAAGAAAAATGATTTTATAACTTTTTAACAATTTTAAATGAAATTTGAATATAAAGTTTATATAAAAAAGGTACCTGTGAAAGTGTATTTCTCTGTAGAATCCAATTTGAGACTGAAGTCAAATTGCCGGACCACTTGAACAGACTTGCAAGTATAAGCAAATGCTATATCTGATCTTTGTATCCAAACAATGATGATCTAAATATTAGGTTTTCCTATTCAGAATCGAAACCAAAATTCAAACGTAATTGCCTAACTGCCAAGCCGCTGAAAATGTGACGACAATTATCATAGAAATTTATATATAAATATCTCGGTCACCTTACATCACTGTAAACAAAAGCAAATGACATTCTGTATAAAATAAGTAATCGTATAATAACTTCATTCAAAATAATCATCAAAGCATTTGTAAATTAACACTACTAAATATAAGTCAAAATTATATCTCATGTAGTAATTCAAAACTGCTATGATTTGAAATATATTAATCAGATTATCCATACTATTAAATTTGTGGTTAGAAAATTTGTTTGCAATTGTATTTAATGAATACTTACATTAATTGCGAAAGTAAAATATGTTGATCAGTGTTGAACACTTTTTTATTATTAGTTGCTGAATTTAGAACTCTATTTTATTATTAATAGTTATCGTGATAAAAATGTAATTATTCACTTAATTGATAAGAAGAGCACAAAAAGCTCGTTATATGCTTTCCAATAGTCAATAAACGGTTGATGACTGATGAGTCAATTAAAACGCGCATGCGTAAAATTACTTTATTTTAACACCTCCATCTATAAATTAATTAGTACTTGATTTTACTTTTCTAGATTTCAATAATTTGAAAGGTAAAAAACTGATGTTCCATATAAATAAATTAATGTTGCTACGAGTGAATTTAATTTTTTTTATGAAAAATGAAATTATACTAAAATATTATTTTACTCATTAAGAAAAATGTGTATATGTATATATTTTTGTTAATTTTTAATAATTGCAGTAAAAAATTAATGACATTGACTCAATTTTAAATAAATCAAATGAGAAAAAGGAATATTTTTATCAACTTTATTTTTCGCTATATAAAGGGAAGAATTCTTTTATTTATTCATTTTTATTAGATATAAATTGTAAAGGAAATTATCAGGCTAATATTTTCAATAACCGTAATCTTACATAAAGATTTAAATATGTATTAATACTCATCCAACTATAAACTAATATCAGTCTTTTATTATTACCGAAAATACTTTGCTGATAATTTTTACATAATTTAATACGTTTAGTGTCAAATAAATATTTCTTAATCATAATCTTAGTCGTTACATATTAATTATATAATATTCCATAAATAATAATTAACTTTTTTTTGAAAAGTCATAACATTTTTTAAAATTTACTTTTTATCATTAAAAAACATTCTAAGTTAAAAATATGAAACGTTAAGTTTAGTCTTACGACATGGAATTGAAAAATCAGAATCAGAGATGTTTAAAATTATTAAAGAATGAAATTTTAAATGAATTAAATTGAAACAATTGTAATTTGTTAATTGAAAATGCATTGAAATTAAATTTGAAATTGAAATTGTATAAATAAATGAAAATACTTTTATATAAAACGATATACTAATTTAAGAAAGATCTTTTCTGACATCCTCTTCAAATTTATGCTTCTTTCGAAACAGCGGCTTGGTCATTATTTTCTTTATCTACATCCATCTTCGAATTATTGTATGGTTTCTTCTTAAAATTTTAATTGTCTACGTCGGCCAGCGGCCTACGTGGAGTTCGAACTCCAGATCTGAGTTCCTGTTCGGTCATTACTTTGGCACTTGGAACTTCTGTGATGCAAG